AATTAGAGCCACTAGGCAGATCATTAATATAAATAGAATAAAGAAGGAGTCCTAGTATAGAGCCCTGATGGAATCTAAAAGTTAAATCTAATAAATTAGAAGATACAGATAAATTAATATGAAAGAACTATTTACGGTTGCTTAAATGACTTTTTAGAAGCATCAAAACGTTTCCTTCGATTTCATTGTACTCTAATTTTTTTAATAGAATTTTGTGATCAAATGTATCAAAGGCTTCTGATTAGTCAATGGAAACTCCCAACGTATATTCATTAACGAATTTTCTTAAAAGATTCAGCAATACTGCGAATAATTTGGAGTATTGCGCGTTTTTTTGAATTACTTTTTTTAAAACCGTAGTTGTTTTGATAGATCGAAGATAATTGATTGTAGATTACATTATCTAAAATTCTCTCTCACTTTAGAAAAAACAGGCAACATAGAGATTGGGAGATAATTATAAACATTGGTTGTATCACTTCCTTAAAATTTATATCAGTTTATAACTTTACATTGCTTCCTTTATGCAAGTTTTTTGGTCTAAAACAAAAATAAAGAGCTAATCGGCACTTATTATGTCTCTGCGGCTAAAGTTTACGCGCAGAGACATAAATTTTAATAGTTATAATTTCCAATATTTATATGAAACAAAGTTATTATTGCCATATGATAACTTCTATTATAGTGCCGTTTAGCTCTTTGTTTAAATTTCATACCAAATATTTGACTTAGTGTTGTGTATAAAATAAGCCAAATGTGTGCCTTATAATTGAAATGTAATATTTAAGTTATGGGCTCTCAAATAAACTTTATATTGTGTAATTGAGTTGTTAAACATGGTGAATTTGTGGTTAAGTACATATAAATTTTTACTTAAAAACTAATTTAACAATTATGTTACTTATTGTAACACTTATTGTTGAATAAATAAGGGTTAAGTATGTTCAAAAAAGCATTACATTACACAAAAACTAGCAAATATAGCTTTAAACAGAAAGTTCGCCTAATTTTTTACATTTATCCCTTCAGTTAAAAATAAAAAAAATGTAACAACTTTGGGGAAACATCCGTGTTTTTAGTTGTGAGTTTGAGGTTGAAGTTCAAGAACTTTCAAAAGAGCATATGCAGTGAATATTAAGTTAATGTTTGTTGTTTGTTACTTTAATGTTTGTATATGTTTGATCGTTCAAAAATGCTCACTGTAAATAGAAGTTCAAAATTGTTGGATCACTTAAAGTTTGCAGCGAACGGTACTCGAACCTGAAAGAACGTTGTAGTGACCTTTCTTAAACGTTAGTTTTTAATTGTGTATACACATATTTCCACAAAATTTACGTTCACAGAACGTTGTCGAACTTCAACAACGTTCACAGAACGTTGTTGAACTTTCAAAACGTTTGTCGAACATTTTGTGTTTCTTGGGTTGGTTAGACAAATATATAACAATTGACAAAAAAGACGTTGCAGCAGGTCTAGGTAAAAAGAGAAAATATTAAAAAAGGTTTAGGTAAAAAAAGTAAAAAATTTAAGACAAAAATAATAATAAATCAATCAAACTCTAAACAAATGAAATAATAATTTAGTTGCCTAAACTTTAAATGTTTACTTGTTTAAGGCTGCCAAATTGGTTAAACGTTCTGCAGAAGAATTGGTATAAGCGTCAATAAAAAAAGTCACAAAAAATCCTATCAAAAAAACTTTTGTTTTTTCCTTAAATAGTGCTACAAGTTCTGATAAAATTAAACGCACGTTGATAAGATTTTCGATAAAAATGAAAACCTAAGATGCTTTGAGCTTAAAAGTGATTAATACATTCATTATAACTCTGTCCTCCGAATCGTGTAATATTTGTGGAGCTGAGCCCAGTGAATTTAAAAACCCAGCATTTATTGGGTCTAAACCAATATATAAAAAAAAAATTATTTTCAGGCCCTTCTACATTGCATTGCTGGTTCCTATATTTTAAATATATTTTACATTTAGGATATAAGTTAGAGATTAGAAAATTCTTTTGCCAAATCACTTGCTGAAAAAGCATTAGTTAATAATCGAAAAAAAATGTAGTCAAAAAATGTTTAGAGAGAAGCCAAGTCCTATTGCTTATAGTTGCTTTGCCCAAAAGGGTGTTTGGCAACACTAATGGTGGAAACACTGTCAGAAAATCATTTGAAAATGCTGAGTCTTTTGCTGATATAACGGGAGAAGCAGTAGATGTAATTATTAGATTGAGAATAATCCCAAAGTCAGTATACTCCTATAATGTTATGTTTTTTTATCTTTTTTTATCAAAATTATTAAA